TGGCTCAGCCTATAATCCCGTGCCTTGGGAGGCTGAGGTGAGTGGATTGCCTGAGCCCGCTGGTTTGAGATCCGCCTGGGCAACTTGGCCTCAACTCTACAATAAATCAAAAAATTAACGGGGCGTGGTAGTGCACGCCTGTAGTTTCAGCTACTTGGAAGGCTGAGGCGGAAGGATCGCCAGAGCCTAGCAGGTCGAGCTGCAATGGCCGGGAGCGGCCACTGCACTCCAGTCTGGGCGACAGAGTGAGACTCCAACTAAAAAAAAAAAGTATAAAGTAAACAAAAATCACTCATATTATCCTAAAGCCCTGGGATAATTGGTGTTAAAATATATCATATGTTTTGGCTGGGCTCAGTGACTCAGCCTGTTGTATGTAACTACAGTTTAGCTTTTTTCCTTGATTTCCCATTCCAGATATTTGGGGAGATTTTTAGAAACAAAGGCCCTGTAAAAGTGTGTTTAAAAGGAAAAGAAAAAATCCTATTTCTTCCCTACTTCTATAATGAAGAATGACTATAGTCATTCTGTTTCGCTTGCAGTAGTACTCTGAGAAGAGTATTATGTACTGAAGGGTAATACAGCAGGAAAGGTAAGAGTGCATTCCATGGACCCCCGTGTGAATGCCAGCTCTGCTGCTCCTTGCCATGTGACCCCAGCCATGTCACTGCACTGTACTTCTGTAGCCTCCTCTGTAAGATGAGGGTCACAATAACATCTATATCAGGGTTATGGTAAGCATAAAAGGAGCCAATACAGAGGGAGTGTTTCAGCACACAATAGCTTTCCTCAGTAAATGAGAAGCAGAGGTGCAAAGGGGGTAAGAGACAAGGTTTTGGAGTTCTGTGGCCTTGAGCAAGTCATATCATCTCTCCTATAAAATGAGAAGGATCATAGTACCTACTTCCTAGGGTTGTTATGAGGATTCAGTGAGTTAATATTTGAAAAGCAGTTAGAGTACCCAACACATATTTAGTACTATGTAAGCCTTCATGAAATGAATTATCCTGTCGATGCATGTATATTCTCCCAAGCGCTGTTCTTTAGCTCTCCTACCCTCCTCATTTCACTACACTATTTCACTAATCATCAATGTTGACAGCCTGGTTCTGCTGCCCCCCCAGATCCTATCTAGCAAGCTGCTTCAAAGGGGCCAGTCCAACAGAGGTCTCCATGGATTCCTGCCTGAAGACATCAAAAAGGAGGCAGCCCGAGCTTCTAGGAAGGTTAGAATTCCCTGAAATGGGCACCTTGGGGGTAGGCCTCTTCTCCCTCATCATCCCTGATTCTGTTATTTTCCCTAGTTGCTAGTTTAGAAGTCAAAGAACTCTTGTATTTCCCAGCTGGTCCTTCTCTTAAGTCCCATATTCCTCTGAGGTATAATGCCCTAAGTGAGGAACTCAGCTTTAGAGTGCTCCAAAACTTTCAGGACCACCAAGAAAAGGGAATGGTTGTTGTTTTACATAATTTCCATTTCCTAGAAAGGTGTGCCACATCATGTGTCTTTGTCTTTCTTGGAGTCCTGAGCACTCTGGGATCTCATCTGCAGATCTGCTTTGTGTGCAAGAAAAAGGGAGCTGCTATCAACTGCCAAAAGGATCACTGTGTCAGAAACTTCCATCTGCCTTGTGGCCAAGAAAGGGGTTGCCTTTCACAATTTTTTGGAGAGTACAAGTGAGTGAGGAAGGGGGAAAAGTTAGGCTGCCCTTTTGCAACTTACCATTTAACCACTAATGTAATGAGTCCAACTCACACGGGCCTGTTTTGATTCACCAATGAATATTTCCCTCCATTCAATAATGGAAAATAGTGTCTTCATTTAGAGATTTCACAGGGGTTTCTTCTTGCTTTGGCTCCTCCTTAAATTACAAACAGCTAGCCGGGCTTGGTGGCTCAGCCTGTTATCCTGCGCCTTTGGGAAGCTGAGGTGAGCGGATTGCCTGAGCCCACGGGTTCGAGACCCGCCTGGGCAGCAAGACCTCATCTCTACAATAAATCAAAAAATCAGCTGGGCGTGGTAGCACACACCTGTAATTCC